TGCTGCTGCAGTGGCAACAGTAGCGGTCACTTGGCAACATGTCAGTGTATCAGTCACCACGTCTACCTCCCAAAGTTATACAAGGTTTCGGATCAGATGCATTAGGAAGGAAAGCGGGGGGCACGGCTCGGGATGGAGTTTGAGGTCCGTGTTCCCTGCAGCGGGAGGCGCGTGTGGGTTTCCATCGGGCGAGTGATCGGATCTGATTGCGTTTCCGAAAGACCGGGCCCCTGCAGCCTGCCAGCCAAATCTGGGCGACTTCCCGTTTTCGGAGCCGAGAATAAGACTGGGTCTCGGGCTTTTAGGGGGAAGGAAGGAAGAAAAAAAAATGTTTCGTGAGAGTGAAAGTGATATGAAATTCCGACTCGGTCTCCACCACCGAGGCCGGAACAGCCCTGCCCGTCCAGCTGCGCCCGGGCCTCTCCCAGCTGAGGAGCGGAATGAGAAGTTGTGACCAGACGGAAGGTCCCTCAAAACTTAAAATATCCCTGCCCCGCCCCTTCTCAGGCAGAGCTGCCGGCCTCTGGGGTGGAGACCGGGTTGTATGGGGCGTGATGCCAGCAGGGAGCTGGGTACGAGAGGCTGTTCTTTAAACTTTTCTATCCGTTCAGACATTTTTTTAAATAAAAAGTTGAGACATTGATGAACTGATGCACGGATAAAGCAAAGGTGGCCTGTCCACATGGTGGAATATTACGCAGCCGTGAACAGGAAGGGAGCCCCGACGCCTGCCGCCAGGTGGACGGACCTGGAGACCAGGATGCTGAGTGAGAGAAGCCAGACCAGAGGCCACAGGATACTGGTTCACTCTCTTGTGTGAAATGCCCAGAGCGGGCGGCTGGAAAGACTAGAAGTGGACTCGTGGTCGCCAGGGGCCAGGAGAGGGGACCTGGGGGTGGCCGGTGGCTGCAGAGGGACTGGGGTCCTCGGTGGTGGAGATGGTTCCCCGACTGAATAGACGGCTCCGTCGTGCGTTCCCGAGGGTAGAGTTGTTTTTGTGTTTTTACGTGAGTCACGAGTCCTTACAAAAACACGGAGCAGGAAGAAGGCAGTGCCTGTGCTGGGGCTGGCTGCACTCCCGGGGCTGGCTGCCTGGGAACGGGCTGTGGTTGGGCCGGGAAGCAGGCCAGGTCGGTCTCGGACTGTCCGTCCATCATGTGGTGCTGGCCCTCGTCATCTGAGCAGAGCTTTGTGGCATTCGGGAGCTGTGTGCCATGGGAGACCCGTGGGCGGTGCGTGGGGCGGCCGCGAGAGCCCTGGGGACTGGGAACGGAGACACCGCTGAGGACTGGGCGGGTGGTTGCTGGTGCCGACGGCCAGCCTGTGCGTTCCCCAGCGCTGACCTTTTCCAGAGGTCACGCCATTCTCCACGGTTGGATCGGGGCCTTGGAATCGTGACCCGAAAGAAGAAAAGCTCATTTTACCCGTAAAGACAGCAAGCGACACTTTTTTTTTTTTCCTGGAGGGGAAAGAAGTCCCACTCCTGGGCACTTTAAGGAATTTTTCCAAAGCAGCCAGCTGGCGGACTCACGCCACACGACCCCATCTCTTCTCTGTGCCTCTGTGACCGACGCTGTGGTCTCCTCCCAGCGGTCACATGGTCCCTTGGCGTGGGGCAGGGCCGATGACATAACGTGACTAATATGAAGTGGCGGCCGGCTCCTCGCCCGGGGCTCCGAGGCCGAGGCATGTGACCCCGTGTGCCCGAGCCAGCGCCCCGCGTGTTCCCCAGAAATCACGGGCTATTCTGGGCCTCGTCCGGGCTGAGCTCTCCCAAGTTCTTCCCGGCGAATCACACGCGGAGGTTTAAGTAACCCGACTGGCAGGTCACGCAGGATGTGAGGTGGGATCTTAAACTCAGGCGTGTGCCTGGCTCACGGAGGGCTGATCTCTATGCTTCTTTGAAGGGATCTGAGCGTGTCGATGGGACCAGGTGCCACTTGGATCCATGAGCCGTGTCTGCATTCCTTGTAGCTTTACGTGGACTGGCCCCTTCCCTTTTAAGCTCCCCTCCCCTCCCCCACCCCAAACAAAAGGACTTTTTGTATATATTTAGTTTTATCTTCTCTGTAACCACTTCTCTGCTCACAGTTCCTCTTTCCTGTCTCCAGGGTCGTGTGAACGTTTTGAGTCCAGCCTAGTAACACTGAAATGAATGTGTCACCATGAGCAGCTGTCTCAGATGATAAAAAATTCCCCTACAAATCGCTGACTCAGTAGTCACGCCAGCATGTGGTCTAGGACCCGTGTCCAGTTCTGACGTGGGAGGGAGAAGGTTTACGTAAAATTTAGAATTTCAGTTCGAGGTGGTGGCCGCTGTTTGATTGCAGTTAGCAGATTCATTTCCAACACCGTAAACAATCCGGGTCCGAGTATCGGGTCAGGAGACTTGGACCTGCGTAAAGGTTGCTTGTGTGCGGTTCATCACTGCTGCCCGGGCCTCCGTGAGAAGCCGCGTTTGGTATTGAGAAAGGAGTTTGTCACGTGGGTCAGAATTCCGAGCTGTTCCTGGAGCAGAGACGGCCCAGCTTTTCCAGACCCTGTAACGCGAGACGGCAGCCTGACCAGCCCTGGTGTGAGCCCGGCCCGGCCTTTAGCTGCTGAGTTCCAAGAGCTCATGGAGGGAAATTGGCTGGAAGCGACTCCGGGAGAGAACTCGCCCGGCGGTGTCCGTGGAGACGTGAAAATCCACGCGGCAAGGGGAGCCGTGGGCCTGCGCCCGCGTGTACGGTCCAGCGCGTTGGGCTCCGTGTGAGCGTGCACCCCAGAAACCCCCTCTTCTTCCCCTGGGGCCCGTGTTTGCCCGGGTCCAGGAATCGGGTTGGAGTTTCCCGGGACTCCTCTCCTGTCGGAGCCTCGCGGGCCACGGAGAGCCTTCCTCCCCCAGACAGGCTCAGCGTCAGCCTGCAACTTCCTCCTTGCTCCAGATTTCCCGGGCGCAGCGGTGCAGCTGTGGTCAGCCGCCGCCGGGGAAGGGGGCCGGCCCGCGGTGGTGAGGCCGCGGTGGAGAGCGGGAGGGAGGTCTGCACGCGGCCTGCGTGTCGGAGCAGCAGCCAGGTGTCCCACGCAGGTGTCCAGAGGCTGTTCTGAGACCGTCTCCGGGGTTTGTTGGATGGAAGTGTAATTAGAGGCGCAGCCCGGACTGTGTGGTGATTGGGGGTGTGGGTGCTTTTTTATGCGGGGCCCTGAGTGGGCTGTAAACATTTTGATGGTGCTGTGATGACGACAGTAATTATATAAATACGCATATTTTTAAATTTAATTTGATTTTTTCCATCACCATTTAGCCTCTTGACCCTATACCCTCCTCCTAAATATATTTTTTAACATATAAAACACTACGACTCAGCTGGTGTGGCTCAGCCTCCTAGGAACCAGGAGGTCACGGTTCAGTTCCTGGTGAGGGCACAGGCCCAGGTTGTGGGCTCCATCCCCAGTGTAGGGCGCGCAGGAGGCAGCCGGTCAGTGATTCTCTCTCTCCCTTTTTCTCTGAAATAAAAAATATTAAAAGACAAACAACAAAAACCCCCACTGTGTATGTTTTTCGTCCTTGAAGCTCACCGCTCAGCTTGACGCCTGTTCCCGTGCCTTCAGGTTAAAGACCGCGGTCCGGAAGCCACGCGCAGGTTCTTCAACTGGTTCTACTGGAGCATCAACCTGGGGGCCCTCCTCTCGCTGGGCGGCGTGGCCTACATCCAGCAGAACGTGGGCTTCGTGAGCGGCTACGCCATCCCCGCCGTCTGCATCGGCGTCGCCTTCCTCACCTTCCTCTGCGGCCTGAGCGTCTTCATCACCAAGCCCCCCGACGGCAGCGCCTTCACCGACGTCTTCAAGGTCCTGGCGTACTGGTGCCGCCCCCAGCAGCGACCGGCGGACCACGGTCCTGGCGGGTGAGGGCGCGGTCTCCGTCACAGGCCCAGTTTGCCAGGAGCGTCGGGTCGGTCACTGTAGCTGAAACGCCTGCTTGCGTCTGTGGGGTGCTGGCTGAGCAGGGCGCTGGGTGGGGATGGACGTGTCTTGTGTCCTTAACTTCCTGTCCGTGCGGGCGGTGGGCGGGGTGTCCCTCCACCCTAAAGACAGACCATGGCCTGACTCGAGCCGGGATGTTCAATTTTAACCTCGTGAGCTTCCTGGTTGATGCACGGAGGCTCCGCCCGCTCGGTCACGTGGAAGTGATAAAGGAGATGTGGCGGGAGACAGGCGTGCTCTGCACGTTTCTCTTCTGATAAGAAGCTTTGAAGTCATTTGAATGGGAGATCAGGCCGTGGCTCACTTTGTGGGCGCCTCCCTGTGCCCCACAGAAAGCAGCCCCTGCGGGTCAGCACGGGCCATGATCCCGTGCTCCCCGCGGGGCTTGGGCAGGAGGTGGACGCCAGAATAGAGGTGCAGGGGCTTCCCCGTGCAGCCTCACAAGTCCACGTGCCGGGCAAGTTCACGTGCTGGGCAAGTCCCACGTCCTGGGGAAGGTGGGACTGATGGCCAGGCACCTGCACGCGGTCTGTAAAGTCCAGGCCGAACCCGAGGGGAGACTCAGAATGCTCCCTCGTTGTTTGCTGCCGTATGAGGCACCCATAGTGAGCCGGTCCCTCTGGGTGCACAGTGCGGGGACGTGTGGCACACTCATTCTGTGGTGACAACGTGCGCCACCGCAGTGCGGTCAGGCCTAGGATGTGTCATCACCCCAGAGAAGTTGGGGATCTGTCCAGTGGGCCCCCAGGGAAGGACAGGCTCCTTGATGGGGGTCAGTCTCTGGGCCGGAGGTGACCCTCGGGCCCTCTGCAGCCACCCCACGCCTGCCCCCTCGGCTTGTCTGCATGTCCGATTCTGTCCTGGGAGCCGGGACACGCCCTTCCCAGCTCCCGCTGCCTGTGGGGGTTCCTGCCGCTGCTCCTGGCCGACCCGCAGGCCTAGTCAGGGCCGCACCCAGTTCCCAGTTCCGATCCCAGACCAGGACCACGCGGACGTTCTACAGAGGCAGCGGCTCTGCCCGGCGCCCCTCCCCTCTGGGTGCTCCCGCAGGGCCAGGCCCAGCCAGGGCGGCGGTTTCACTTCCTGCTGTGGGTGGCAGGCGAGTGCATTCCCCACGTCCTCTGGAAGGAGCCGCAGGTGGCCTGCCTGCGAGGTGGCTCCTGCAGGCGTCTGGGATTTCCCTCCGCCTGGGAGGCCTCTTTGGCACTTTAGGATGAAAAGGGTCGCCTTGCAGAAAGGTCTAGAGGACCCTCAGGCCTCCCTCCTCCCGCAGGCCCGGCTCTGCGACCCGGGGCAGGTGATGAGCTGCGGGGGGTGGGGGGGGGCAGGAGAGGCCTGAGCACCCCTTACCTGCTGCCAGTCACCGGCCAGGCAGGTGGTCCAGCTGTGCCCTCCGGCGCTCCCTGAGTCACGCACGGGGGCGGCCTCTGTGTAAACAGTGGGTGGACCACCCCTGGGCCTGGGGTCAAGTCTGGACATTTGATAGAACCTTAAAAATCCAAACAGCCCAGCAGTTTTCAAATATGAACCCGGCGGGCGAGCTGATGCCATCGCTGCAGCTTCGTCCACATGGGGGGCTCTGACCACGGGGACTCTGACCGGTGTGATGGCACTGGGCAGGCAGCCGTGGTCGGGGCGGGTAGGGGGAGCCCTGTGCCTGTCGGCCCTCTGCCAGCTGCCTCGGGGCTCAGCGATGCTCAGAACAGCGGGGCGCTCCGCGGGATGTCCTGTCAGCAGCTGGCACAGTGATGTTTAAGTAAATTCTTCCGCCTCCAGACTTCAGTGTGACCTGGTTCCGGGGGGAGAAAACTAACTCCTTCATTTTGTTTCCCAAGTGAAGGCAGTGGAGTCTTCCAGCCGCCTTCTAAACACAGTCTGTTTGATTCCTGTAAGATGTCCCGGGGCGGGCCCTTCACGGAGGACACCGTGGAGGACGTGCGGGCCCTGGTCAAGGTCGTGCCTGTGTTCTTGGCTCTGATCCCCTACTGGACGGTGTACTTCCAGGTGGGTGGTGACGGGCGCTGCCCGCCCGCCGGGTGCCTGCGCGGCCCTGGCTCCCGACGCCCCCGGGGCCCAGGTGTCTTTCCCTCGAGTCTCTGGCGTCTGGGCATCTCCTGTTCAGTTCCCGACTCATTTTTGCTGATGGAAACATTTTGATGTTTTTTCTAAAGCAACAGCCAGGAACGGGTCCCTTCTGCCGTCCAGGCCCCTTTCCTCCGGTTTCTCATGTGGGTGACTCAGTTCAGGATGATCAGCTCGTAGACTTGTCCGTTGTTTTCAAGCCGGAGGGAGAGGCTGCAGGGGGGCGGGGGCAGGGCCGCACCCCTAACGCTGCCGCTTGTCACCCCAGATGCAGACCACGTATGTCCTGCAGAGTCTTCACCTGAGGATCCCGGAAATCCCGAGCCTCACGGCCACGACGCACACGGTGAGCGGGCGGGACCTGAGGGCGGCCCCGGGGGACACGTGGGCCCTGCCTGTGGCGGACACCCACAGGTGGTAGCGGTCAGCGAGCCCAAAGCGTTCACACCGAAGGGGCAGCTCGCTGTGCTAGAGACGTGCCCGCTGGTCGTGTCAGTGACTGCATAAGTTGACGCATGTTAATGACACATGAACGACTGTGCTCACCGGGTTCTTCCTCCCCCAATGCCCTGAAACGCCAGTGCAGAGCCTCCTGGACCAGGTCTGGTCTCCGTCCGGGGACTGAGCTGGGCCTCTTCCCTGGAGGGTGGACCCTGTAACGCCCCCGGCACGGGCCTTCCCGGGAGGTCGTCCCCGGGCCTCTCGCGGGCGCCGTGAC